AAAAAAAGTAATTTTTCCAAGTTTCCCCAAAAGCTGTTTAAATTATTGTAATTTTTCGACTTTTTCGCAAATATCTCAAAAACTATTCGTCGTAGAGTAAATCTGAGGGCATATTCTGGTTCCTCGTTCAATTCTACATAAGGATGCCAAATTTTAAGTCATTCAGACGAAAACTGTGTTTGTAGGACAAAATACCCAAAATGCCTGCAAAATGGGCAAAAAAACACAAAATGCACCATATCTCCGAAACAAAACTTTTATCGGCCAAACCAAAAGTGGCCGATTTTTACTTTATATGAAGAGAACTTACCCACAAAAAATCAGAAGGATCGGACGACATCAATGTCAGGGGTGGCTTTTCTTAAATAAAATTGCTCACTACAATGTAACCACGTGGCATAAGTAGCCTTAACTTTGTTCAGTGGTGGTTAGGGACGTGCTTCTTGCGTAACAGGCATTTGGGGTGATTCATAAGACCCGTATCAAGAAAAGAATTTAACTAGTTTATGCAATCAAATGCTTGAATTATTTCTCGAATCATCTGCTGCCTTATTCCAACACATTTACACAGCACATAATGCTTTTTAAAATGAGTTATTCTTATCTATCCTCCGAAATTGAAAAAATGTGAGGTTAGGGTTGACAGCCGATCAGTTAATACTCAGGCGGTCAACGGCAGCTTTTAAAGGCGTCTGCAGGATATCCGAAGAACAACTGCTGGAGGAGATAACATTCCCGACGATGTTTCATTTAATGTGTAGGATATTATGAAACGCTTCATGGCTGTTACAAATCACCCCATGGCGGGGCGATTCGTAACAGCATGCAAGGGTTTGGAAAGCGTCTCAGATTTCCAAGATAACGGATTCCAGATTGATCCAATGGATATGCATCGATATGTATAGTTTAGATGAAGGCCTAGACTGCTCTACTGGCACAAGTTTGGAACCGATATGCACAATGTTCTTTATTTGTATAGAGAATTCCGAAATCTGTTACAAATCGCCCCACTCTCCCTTAGTCAATGCATATACTTGTGAACTCTAAATGTTCACTCAGCACACAAAGTAAATGTCTTATGGTGAAAGGCTGTATCACCATATGGTGAAGATTTTCTCCATAATATAAACAAAATTCATCAAAATATCTGTAAGTCAGTGAATTCTCAATGGTATGTTATCCAGACAGCTGCACCACCATAATATGGAACATTTTCACCATAATATGGAGAATCTTCACTGTACAACATTTAGGTTGCATGCAAATGCGGCATGTGTGTTCTCAGTTGGGGAGGTGAGGCACATTCGTCCGGATTTTGTTTTACTGTTTTCACTCTTATTCCAGGAACGTGACGTCACGTTGTAACGAATGTGACAATATGTCTCGTTCGTTTGAGCATTTTGTCACGGAGGGGCATTTTGTCACGTTCGTTTCAACGTGACGTCACGTTCCTGGAATGAGAGTGTTCACTGAAATTCATAGGGTGAGACATCTCACCAATTTTCGGCGATACAAAATGTATCACCGAAAAAAATGTCGTACACGAATGTATCACCGAAAAAATGGTCGTACACGCATGTATCACCGAAAAAAGGGTCGTACAAAAAAGTATCACCGAAAACACGGTGAGACATCAGCGAGATTGGCCCTTGTTTTCCTGGGGAAGTATCACCCTTTTTTCGGTGATACATTAGTGTACGACCTTTTTTTCGGTGATAAATGCGTGTACGACCAGTTTTTCGGTGATACATGCGTGTACGACTATTTTTTCGGTGATACATTTTAGTATCACCATTTTTTCGGTGAGACAGTTATGTCTCATCCCTCAGAGAGTGAGATGTATCACTATTTGATTTTCAGTGTTCGCTTAGGGGGGCTCATACATGTTAAAAGCACTTCGTAAAAAAATTTTGTTGATGAAGACGGATCAAGATTTCACAATTTCTGTGTTGAAACCCTTTTAGATAATTGAGCAAGCTTCATTTTCGCTTAAACTAAAGTGACTTTTGACTTTTTTTTTGAAATAAAGTCGAATCATTTAAAATTTTGGTTCTCATAAGATTTTGTTCCCATACTTGCTCAGATCTGTGGGAGAAAAATCAGGGAGACTTATCCCTAGTAGTGTCATAGAATTGACTAGAATGGGCTTTTTATCTGCAAGAGTTTTCAAGAAAAAAATAAAAACAATTTTTTGTTCCAAAATTTGTTTCAAAAATTGATAAAAGAATTGTTATTATTTTTTTCTTGAAAACTATTGCAGATATAAAGCCCATTCTGGTCAATTCTTTGACACTGCTAGGGATGAGTCTCCCTGATTTTCCCCCCACAGATCTGAGCAAGTATGCGAACAAAATCTTGCGAGAACCAAAATTTTAATTGTTTCGACTTTATTTCCAAACAATGTCCAAAGTCACTTTACTTTAAGCCATAATAGAGCTTACTCAATTATCTAAGAGGTTTTACACTGAAATTGCAAAATCTTGATCCGTCTACATCAAAAATATTATTTTTACGAAGTGCTTTTAGCATGTATGAGCCCCCTTAACAATGCTTGTGACGAGGGACATTAAAACTTCTTAGCCAAGTCTTACTTTGGTCTTTGCCTCAGTCACTGTTGCTAGCATGTAGGATTTTGAATGAGTCTAGAAAATTGACAAATTGTATTTTTCTTGGTAACAAAACAGAAAAATTTCCCAACAGAGGACAGGGTAGGATCGTTGTGCTGCAGAAGCGCCATCAAGGGGGGCTGGGGCGGGGCTGATTCTCCTGAACCGCGTATGAAGTATTATATATTATAGGAGGTACTGTGGAGTATTATAGGCATTTGGATATTTTATGCGGATATGTGTGTCATATTTCTATGCAAAAATAAATAACAAAATGTTCGAGTTAGTTATTATGGGGACCCAGTCAACTAATTTAGCGCTGTTTTGCTACTCTTTCTCCTGTTAAAAGACCCTGAACTTCCGTCAGCTACAGTTTTACAATACTCTGCCATTTTAAAGCTAAAACTGCACTACACAAGCTGATTTTCATGGAAAAATTTTAAAGTTACCGTAAACCGGGGTAACTTGAGACAGCAAGGGTAGAGACACTTCTGCTTTTGGAGCTGCCACCTGGCTCGGCACATTCGGAGGTCAAAACTGCCCTAGCACTTTTTTTCATACTTGTTTGGAAAGACGATTAAGCGTTTGAATGGCGGGTTGGGACCAAGCTGGTCAGTTCCATAACGATTTTTCAATTTTAGTAAATTTAACAATTTTGGAGAAGTGTTACAAGTCTCCCTTGGTACTCGAAACACGTCTTGCTGAGACCCAAATGACCTTAGTATCTTTCAACCCCATTATTTCAACATTCTAAATGCAGCATCGGTTTTGAGGGAAACCCATCATTCATCGCGTAATACTGACTTTTATAGAAAATGGTAACTATGCGGGGTAACTTGAGACACCAAATTTCATTGAATTTGACGGAAGTTGAGTGGCGTAAATTGACACTGGCACCTCCTTGTACTACAGGGTGATTTAAAGTAACGGACCTCTCCGTTCAAAGATCAAAACTAAGCCGCATTTGATCGGGAATCACTTTTTTAGTCAGTGTAGAGGGTCCCAAGTGGATATGCAGCTTAAAGTTGGAGTGTTTTCTCAACAACACACGGACCAGATGAGACATAATAAATCTTGGTCTCAAAAGACGGGGAATTTAATTACCTTTCCAACGAGCTGAATGTCATTGTAATCGGACAACTTCTAGCCCAAGAACCGCCGATTTTTTGAAGAAAAACAACTGTCAAAATAGTTAAGGGATTTTGAGTAAATTTTAAAAATTGACTAAGACTATATACCTTTGCAGGAATGGACTTGTACGTAGAAATAACGAAAAATGTCTTAACAGGTGTCAGGGTTGGATGTGAAATGAGAGAATCGCTGTACTGAGTTGACAGGGTTGGATGTGAAATGGGAGAATCGTTGCGCTTCTGAAGTGCCGTTATCCCTCAAATTACCAAATGTAACTTTGATGAAAAAAAATCTTAATATAAGGATCAAAAATAGTCTAATATATTCCACAAGTAGTACTTTTCATTGAAAATAAGTTAAATGTCTTAGAAAATCAGTATGGACTGTCAAAAGCCCCACTTCCGTGAAAAAGCTAAGTGAAAACTAGAAGTGTCTCAAGCTACCCCAAATGCACTGTGGGCAAAAATCACAGTAAATCCTGTAGTGATTAGTACAGCTGTCACTGTAGTTCAGAGTACGGGATTTACTGTACCTTTTTTACAGGATCCACTGTACTTTGTACGGGATTTACTGTACCACAGGTGTGGAGTACGGAATATCCTGTACAAGGTACAATAAATACTGTAGCCAGGCACAGTAAATCCTGTGTTCTGAACTACAGTAAATCCCGGCAAAAAATTTAACGGGATTCACTGTGGTTTTTTCGCACAGTGTGACGGGGTAACTTGAAACAACTTTAGAGGCCCATTACTCTAATTTTAGGTGACCCTCAAAACCTTCATGGGGTCAAACCGAACGTTATCATGTGAAATTAAACATAGTTGGTATTCGGGTTGGTGAGAGAAGTATTGTGGACACACGGTCCAAAAGACGTGAAATATTGTCTCAAGTTACTCCGGTTTACGGTACAAACAATTGAACGATGAATGGTATGAATGGTTTATTATTTTATGAATGGTACGTAAAATCTGAATACCTTTTCAGGCTTTTGCAGGCACTTTTTTTTCGACAAAAATGCACAAGGTTCACAATTAATTATTCATTTATGATTTTTTTGTTGTGAGCATAAAACGAGCCATTCTTAAATAAACGAGGCATTCGTCGCCACATTTGTCGCAAAACAACGCCAATTTTTTATTGAATTAAGCCTTACGAAGTAATGTGGCTTCATGTAACAAAGTATTTTGACCGTGCGTAAGCTTCCAAAGAAAATTGTTTGTTAGAACTCGTACTACACACTTACAAGTTTGTACCTTGTACAAAATGACGAATGTTCAAAATTCTTTCGTAAGGTTTGAAGCGTGCATACTGTTTCCGTTCCCATTTTCCGCACATTTGCCGTCTCAAACTAAGGCTATTTTACAGTGACTCACGCCCATGTCCTAATCCGATTCGTGCCCACAGCTGCTGGCCCTGCCGGACGACGCGTTGGTGCGCGTGTTGGCCCTCCTGCCGCCCAGAGAGGTCTTCCGCCTCCGATTGGTGTGTCGGCGGCTCCGGGACCTGAGCCTCCACCCGGACGTTTGGCGCTCCGTTGACCTGTCTGGCGGTGACATAGGCCTTCTCCAAGCCGCGCTCAGACTCGCCCCCTGCCTCCGCGAAGTCTCCCTGCGCTCGCCGCATCTGCAGGTTGCGGCCTGCACCGTTTGCAACACCAACTGCGTCGTCACCAACCTCAAGCTGTCCGTTCAGAATGAGACCGATGCTGCCTGGGCCACCGTCATAGTGCAAAGTTTCTCCACTCTCCGCGGCTTGAGAGAGATAACCCTAGTTCTATACCCTGCCGCCCCCGGCGCTTTACATCCCCTTCTGCGGATGGTTTACTGCGTTCAAGACTTACGCGAATTAACGATACGGTTCGATTCGGACATGTCAGAGCTACCGCCTCTATTGTCAGACCTGGAGCCGAGACCTTCCCTTACTACACTCCGTTACGAAGGTGCAGCAACTGACCCTTTCTTCTGTGTGTTGCTGCGTACGCATGCGGCCACCCTTGAAGTTGTCCTTCTATACCTGAGGGATGGGCTCCCCACATCGCTGTTAGGATCGTTGCCCAGGCTTCGCTGCCTGGGTTGCCGTCCGACTGTTGACCTTTCTCAGCTCAAAAGCTTACACAACCTGGATACATTTGTGCTGCTCGGTCGCGAAGTGCAGGACGTACCTTGTCCGGGAACAGTGAACTTCCTCCTTCAGGGGCCGCGCTTGCGGTCCGTGGGGTTCAACTTGGGACCCAACCACCCAATTCTCGGCGCTGCCCTTCTGGAGGCTTTGGCCCAGTCGCCGTCCGCCCCCGTTCTGGAAAGACTGTCCTTACACGGTGTGCAAGACTCGCTTGTGGCCGCGGCACTTCAGCGGTTCCCATCCCTGCGAGCACTCACCCTAGAATCGGACGCCATGCCCTCGGACGCCTTCTTCCGTGCAGTGAGCCCCGCCTCCACACCGCGCCTTGCCACGCTGCAACTTGTGCCCCACGGCTGCCCCCACGCCTGGCTGCACGACCCGGCCGTGCAGGACGTCCTCGCGAGGAACGCGGGGCTCCACCTCCGCCTGTCAGGCCCTCCCACCCTCGAGGACGACTGTGCCTGTCGGTGGTGCCTCTGGCGCTGCCACCGGGACGAGCTCCGGACGCACGCAGGCCTGCAGTCCGCCTTCTCGGCGCACACCAGGCGGCCCGGCTGCCCCGGGGACTGCCGAAGGTGGCTCTGGTATGTTTAGGCAGGCACACTGTCACTAAAACCGATTCATCTGTGCTGCATTGAAGTTCTTATGTGATTCAGTGATTTATAGTTTAATTTACCTAGGTATTAAGCAACAATCTGGTATTAAGCAATTGATTAATCGCACAGGTTGCCTTTATCTTCTTTTCAAAGAAATTACCTGCATTGTTTGTGGAACCAAGTTAGAGTACTTGCAGTATTGAGGCACAAATTGTCCCTTTCCGTGACCTGTTTCAAATTGCTATTTGAAACCACTTCCCGATGGATGATGAAAGGATTGGTGCCAGAATTGAAATATGTATTCACGACTATTTATAAAGTCCTACTGTGTACACAACTGATGGGCTCGCTTCGGTAGAATGCATTTGATACTGTTTCCCATCAAGTTATCGTAACTTCTGTGTTAAAGTAATGTGAAATGTTTAACTTTTTACTATTTGTCGATCTAAATTGCACGTTTTTACATGTTTTGTAGCAATATTATGTTACTTCAATGGCAAGCTGGGACTAACTCTGATTATGGAAAAGGTTAAATATTGTGAACATGCAAACTGAAGCCTTTATTTGTTTAATGCTCCAAGAAAACTTACTTATCCTTGTATGGGCAGCTTTGCGGTCGTGCTTTCCAGTCTCTTGACTTGCCTTTTTTGTCAGGCATTTGTAGAGTGAACAGTAAACATTCACCATCAATAAATAAGCGGTTTTTGACAGCTGTTTCCGGCTTATGTTCTTGTTGTTGCTGCAAAGGTCGCCCTCTCGTAGAGCGGCCCCTCAAAGTGACGCCGGGCTCCGGGTTACGCAAACGGGGGTGGGGTGCGGCAAGGATCCACACGGTAAAAACGGAACCTGGTTTTCCCAGGAAGCCTATGGTAAAGGCATAGGCGATTTCCAGGAAGTTCCTGGGAAAACCAGGAACCGTTTTTACCGCGCAGGTGGTGGGACTGAGTCCCGAGCCGGCGGATTCCGGAGTCGATCGCAACGGCCCTGCTCAATCTCACTAATCTAATCTAGGGCGGCGTCGAGCGTTGCATGACACACTTGTTCGCACAGAACCTTAAATCAAAATTAACATATTTTCGTCAGTTACGCCATTCACGTGCTAATCTTGAATTGCGATACATTAGAATTAGTTCTGCTTTCACGTTAGCGTTAATGTTTTTTAACACTTCATCACGGAGTGCTCAACTCACTGCTTTTATAAATTTCTGTGACGGCTTGCCGAAGGCCAGGCGGCGATTGTCGTAACTGGCTCAGCATCGCGAAGCCTGTTAAGCAAGACACGGTCTGGCGCACATCTACTTTGGTACATATCTTCTTAAAACGTTTGTGACCTTATAACTGATCGCATGGTGACACTGCAGGACTTCACAGCTCGTGGAATTCGTCCTGGCGGACCTTCGTGCAGCGGGAGCACACCACTGCCACCGCAGCGCCCAGCACCGCCCTGATGGCGGCAAGCTGCACCCGGCAGTCCTCCTCGTCGTGGACGAAGGACGAGCTCCTCCACACCACGACGCGGCGCAGGGCTGGCAGCGCGCCGCCCCGGAACACGGGGCTCAGGTCCGTGCAGGCGTAGGGGTAGTGGTCCTCGTAGCCGGGCGGCCCGCGCGTGCCGGCGCAAACCACCAGCTCGCGCAGCGAGTGGGCGTGGCCGCGCACCAGCGAGGCCAAGGTGGCCTTGGGCACACTGAAAAACCAAACGTGGTCTAGACCGCACCAACTGGTGTGGTCAAATGGATGCCATTTTGACCACACCAGCTGGTGTGGTCTAGACCACGTTTGGTGCGTTTGGTGTGGTCTAGACCACACCAAACGTGGCCAAACGTGGTCTAGACCACACCAAACGTGGCCAAACGTGGTCTAGACCGCACCATACGTCGTCAAACGTGGTCTAGACCACACCAACTGATGTGGTCAAAATGGCATCCATCTGACCACACCAGTGGTGCGGTCTGGACCACGTTTGGTTTTTCAGTGCAGGTACGCGCGCACCCAGTGCAGGCCGCCGGGGTGGCCCGCGGGCAGCGGCGGCAGCGAGATGGGGTTGGCGTAGAGGCCGGGGTCGCTCGCCACGTACAGGCGGCGGAGGCGCGGCAAGGCGTGGATGACGGCCAAGTGCGCGGCCTGCACCACGCGCACGTGCAGCGCCTCCAACGTCGGCGCGGCCGCACGAAGCAGCGCCATTTGCCACGCCGGTTCGATGGGGCACCACAGGCTGCTCAGACGTCGCACCTGCAACAGCGAGCTCGGTGAGGACCGCTGCAGTGGCACCGCAAACTTCAGTGTCTTCTTAGTACACTATTACAAACGCATACTTGCCAGTACACACTAACAAACGCATCCTACACTATGGCAAAACGTAACAAACGCATCCTACACTATGGCAAAACGTAACAAACGCATCCTACACTATGGCAAAACGCTACGGAAACTTCTGTTAACAGCTTGTGGTAATATTGATCCATGAAGCGGAAGAAGGGAGTAAGTTGACTTATCTCCAAATTGAGTTTTTATCTTGTTATTGTGCCTCAGGATAGTTTGCATCTTTACACCAAATTATTTGACTCAATTCCCAGCAGTTTAGGAGAAAATCCACATGGAAAATGGATACAACTCAACTTGACCCTTTTTACGGTCCAAATTTCATCGGAAAATGGAGTCAACTCAACCGATGTCCACATGACTCCGTTTCACAAAATAGCAAAAATAGACAACTCAACTTGCGTCTTTATAAATCTAATGTAAAAAGAGTCAACTCAACTTAGGTCTTCATGAATCTAGTGCAAAAAGAGTCAACTAAACTTAAGGGGGAAAACTCGTCTTTAACACCAAAATTTTAACAAATTTCAGGATTAAATAAAAAATCTTTCCAATAAATTCGAAGGTTAGTGGGGTTTTCCAATAAAAAGCTGGTTCTTTAATGTTGATTTCAAGAAAAAAAAGTTTGACTCTAGGCCCTATGACCTAGAATCTGTTATCTTTCTACTAAACCACTAAAATACGCCAAAAATTCACTACGCGCATGATTTTCAGAGAATGCGGCATCATATCATAAATGTCTTTGTTCGTCCCTCAAGAAGACTCCTGGCACTCTAGGTTGAACTAGAATGATTGAAATACCTGGTTCCTAAGTGCCTCAAATTTACATTTGTAAGTGTACAAAGAAAAGCCTTTAAATTTAGACATCTCAATAATTTTTTTCGGACACTTCTACTGGTCCGATTGAAGATATCCTAGGTCAGAGTGACGGCCTTATAGAGACAAAACATGAGAAAAATTATTGAGTCGAAACAATCAATGGTCTGGCTCAAATCGTGCGCGCAAGACCCAAAATATTGCAATTGAGTAAAATGGCTTCAAAGTTCAAACGGTCTAACCTATCCTGTGGAAAAACAATTACAAAAGGTCATCCTATGGCCAAACGGTTTTGAATTTCGAAACCAGCCAGCCACCAATTTCAAGGGTTTGACACAAAGAATTCGGAAAACTCAAAAACAAAAATCTGATTTTTTGACGTAGAATGACGAGTCTCCCCCCTTAACTCTGAATTCACTTTAAAAAAACTAATGGAAGAAGGAGGTCACTCTTAAAATGTTCCATAGCAATATAGACTCTACGCGGACCTCAGTTCCACTTGAGTTGTCTCCATATTCCATCTCGTTTGGGAGAACTAAGTAAACATGGTTCCTTAGTTCATTCTAACGTAAAGATTTAAATCACAGAAACCGTCTACAGAGTGATGTTATACTTTTGGAAATTCTGACAGTTATTACTGATACTTTTTGGGGGGAAAATGCAATTTATATCATTCATCTGAATGGATTTGTTTTCCCTCAAACAGTTTTTTTGTTTCTGATGAAAAATGATAAAAATTTAGTTATCGCCTTTTTTCGCTTCATGGATCAATTCTCCGAAGCCCCTTGTCAATATTCTCCGTGGGGTCTTACAGTTTTTTCTGTAGGCCCTTACAGTGTTCTCCGTAGGACTACACAGTCTTCCAGGTCCTAGGAGAAGACTGCGGTCCTACGGAGAATTCAGTAAGAGGCACGGAAAATCCTGGCGAAAAAATTTCCGTCCCTTTTTTGCCACAGTGTATTTGACCAAGTACACACAAACAAATGGTACTTGGGGGAGTATAACTTCATGCTAAGTATAGGCTTTTGTAACGCGTTTGTAAGGATTGTAGAAGGCGTTTAGGTTTTTTGGGAAATGAAGTGTGTTTTGAGTACACAGAGGCCCTAAGGTAAGTGAAAAATCAATTGTGGGTGTGCTCCCTCTCCCCCTTCTCCTCCCCCTCTCTTCTCCTCTCCCTAGCGGAATTTTCGGGACGTATTACGGACGCCCCGAGAGCGTCAGGTTTTTCTCTTTATGGATGGTCTCAGAACGCGCCGGCTTCGTCTATGGATCGTCCCGCATGTGTCCTTACGTATCCGGAGACTCAATCGAGGTGTCCCTCCCGCATCCAGAAGGTATCGTCAGTGTCCGTCCGTCGTCTAGACATCATCCAAAGGTATGCCGACTGTCCCAGGTGCATCCCAAATGTATCCAAAATTAATCCACAATGCATCCATCCGCCTCCACTCTCTATCCCACCCCATAGGTTTCACAATCTGCCGGACATTCCAAATAACGTCCAGTGCGTATCCGCTCCATGCCAGATGCATCCTAAATGCATCCGAGGCGTCCTGAACGCATCCAGAGGTACCCGGACCGTCCCAGAACCATACTAGATGCATCCCACCCGCCCCCATAATGCAGCCGGGTTTTTTGAGCACGCCCAGAAGGTATCCGGACCGTCCCGAGGAAACCCGAGTGCATCCAGTCCGCCTCCAGCCGGGGCGTCACGAGCGCGTCCAGAAAGTCTCCGCACCACCCCAAAAGGACCCCGAGTGCGTCCCACCGCCTCCGTCCGTCCTCTCGACATCCAGAATGCATCCCAACCACATCCATCGCATCTTGAAAAAACCCAAAAATATTTGAATCGCATCCAGATCGCATCCATTGCACATGCGAGGTGTGGTAAGGGTAGGTGCCGGATGTCGTAGTGATGCTTTGCGGATGACCCCTGTGCGCTGGATGAGTTAGACGACTTCCGGATGAGGATGCGTGGATCTTTCTTGTGGACTGGCGTCTGGAAGTGCTGGGTGTCTTTTGATGTGTGATGAACGTCTTAAGTGGTGCTACTTTGCCGGGAGTTGAACCCGGCCCCTTCCGCTTGCGGGTCGACTGCTTAACCCCCTCGGCCACCGCTTCCTTCTTAGAGGAGAAAGAATTTTGAGTACTCTTAAGCTTCATGCAAAAGTGGCATCCACCCAGCATCCTTGTCTCGTCATCACCACGAATCACGAAGCATCCCCAAGCCATCCTCGCATCCTTGCCATCTCTGAGCCAGCCCCTCGTATCTCTGCATCCACGTAAGCAAACTATATCCAACGGCGTCCTAGTATCCAACCGTTTGACACGCATCCCTAGCGCGTCCATGCCGTCCGTCTTCATCGCGAAAGCATTCGCGCGACTGAATAGCTTCAATAGCATCCGTAGAGTATCCAGACGACCCACCCTCATCCTGAGCGCATCCGTCGGCCTCCAGTCCATCTCA